CCAGAACTGACAGTTCGGACAGCGGTGTTTGGGTTCTACTTGGGCAACTTCACAGAGGACATGCACAAAACAGGTGGTGGTGGTAGTGGTGGCAGCACTGCTGACGGAAGGGGTGGGAGGTGGGGTGTGCCCGGCAGGGCGTCTGATTGGCTGAATGGTCAGAGTTTTAAAGATCCCTGATAAGAAAGTTAAAGAATCGGTTTCGATTTCGAACTGATCATCATGTTTTCACACCTTCTCCAGGCAGCAGCAGATGTCACTAGCTGACAAACTAGTCGGCGCACACTTTGACAACTTTGAAGAGAAAAACAAAACAAATACACCTCCTGCAAATCAAGCGGACCGCTTTTAGAACACAGCTCAAGATCAATCATGGTCAGTGTGCTGCTGTTATTATCATGAACATTCTGCCAAGTTCATCCTCGACTAATCATTTCTTACCTAAATACTCTCGTTTTAGAAATTCAAATTCTGCGGCGACAACGACTGCCAGGACTGGCTGCTGGCGCAGATTAATCTACTGTCAAAGTTGGCAAGTGCTTTTTATGGTTTGTTTTTAACTGTAAACAGCTAACATCTTGTTCTCTCTTCTCCAGACGTCAATCAAAGTCAAGCTGATCCTGAACGAAGTGATCGGCAACCTGCTGACCGGAAAGGAGCTTGATGTAAGCACTAACCGAAAACTGCTAGGCTTGTTACGTTCTAACTAACAATTTTTTATCAACCAACCAGTTCGCCAAAATCTGCAAGCTAACGGCAGATGCGAGGCTAAGCGAAGACGAGACAAAGGCGGCAGTGGCGGCGCTTCACTTCATCATCGCCAGCGCCTCAAAGTACGACACTGAGGGCGAGGTCCTCTCCAATGAACTGCAACAGCTCGGTCTACCTCGAGGTACTTAAGAGATTCTTAAGATTTTAAGTTCTGCTGACTTAAATTCTAAATTCAAAACATCTCATCCCTAAACTTCCTGCAGAACACTCCACCGCCCTCTGCAAGGTCTACGCGGACAATGTGGGCAAAGTGCAGGCGGCCCTCAGAGAACAAAGTCTAAGATGTGAGTTACTTTGTGGTGGC